AAATTGAAGACCTAATACTCAGTCTTCTCAGAATGTGACCTCATTTGGAAATAGGGTGTTGCAGATGCAATTATTTAAGATGAGGTCATTAGTATGAACTAATCAAACATGACAAATGTCCTTTAAAGAAGAGGATATTTGGACCCAGATGCACATCAAGTATGTCATATAAAGATGAATGAAGCACTCTTTAAGCTAAGATGTGCTAAAGACGGTAGGGGCAGTGAACATATTTTCTAGGAGAGATAAATTTAACAGATTAACCCTCAGAAGGAACCAATACAGATGACATATTGATCTTGGATTTATAGCTTCAGAGCTGTGGGACAATAAATTTCTGTTTAAGCACCCAATTCTTAGTACTTTGTCATGAAAGTCCTAGCAATATATATAGTCCCTATAGATGAGTACCAAATACAGAATCAGAGGAAAATATTTGCAAACCATCTGTTTGTAAAAGGATTAGTATCTAGGACATATTTTTTCAAAACTCAAAACCAAGCTGAGTGCTATAGCTCTAACCTGTAATCCTAGCTAGTTGGGAGACTGAGATGGAAAAGGTCACAGTTTGAAGCTAGCCTAGGTAAAAAGTTTCTAAAACCCTATCTCAATCAGTAAAGAAGCTGGGCAAAGTGGCATGCACCTGTTATCCAAGCTACATGAGAAGCATAAATAGAAGAACTGTGGTCCAGGCTGGCCTGGAAAAAAAGAATGACCCTATTTAAAAAATAAAAGCAAAGGGGGTTACAAGGATGGCACAAGGCTCTGAGTTCAAATCTCATTACTGAAGAAAAAAACCATCTCAAAACTCAAATTAAAAAGGCAAAAATTCCAATAAGAATATTGACAAAAGACAGCCTTTCCATCAAAGGAGATAAATAGATGGCATATAAATACATGAAAAGAAGTTCAACATTATTATTCATTAGAGAACTACAGATTAAAACCACATTGGCTTTTTATTTTTTTTATTTTTATTTTTTGGGGTCCAGTCGTGGGGCCTGAACTCTGGGCTTGGGCACTGTCCCTCAGCTCTTCAGCTCAAGGCTAGTGCTCTACCACTTGAGCCACAGCGCCACTTCTGGCTTTTTTTCTTTTTGCTTATGTGGTGCTGGGGAATCGAACCCAGGGCCTTAGGCATGCAAGGCAAGCGCTCTACCACTGAGCCACCTTCCCAGCCCCACACATTGTTTTTTTTTAAAAAGGAAATAACCTACCATTGTAGGTTATTAATCTACCATTGTAGATATACCAAGACATATCTATCACAATGACTTAAGCAAAATGGTGCTAATACTCAATGCTGGTGAGGATAGTGGATAACTCAAATATTGCTAGGGGAACTGTAAAATGGTACAGCCATTCTGTACAACTTACAGAGTGCCTTAAAAACAAAACCAAATGATCCAGCAATTATATTCAAAGCTTATCCACATTTTTAGAGCAGCTTTATTTATGATAGCAAAAACTGGAAACAATCTTGATGGTTTTTCAACAGGTCAGTGATTTTAAAAGTTTTGTACATACAAACCATGTACTATTCTTCAGTTATAAAAAGGAAAAAGTACTAATACATATGACAGGGAGTCTCCAGATAATTACATGAAAAGTCAATCTCAAAAAGTAACCTATTGCACTGTTGATGGGAGTATTAACCAGTACAACCATTCTGGAACACTGGAGGTAAAACTAAACATAGAACTTCCCTATAACCCAGCCATACCACTACCAGATCATTACAGTCAGGATATGGTAAAGACATGTGATTATCCATGTTCACTGCTGCACTATTCACAACAGCCAAGTTATGGAAACAGCAACCCAGAGACCCTACAATAGATGAGTAAATCAATAAAATGTGGTGTATATACAAAATGGCATTTTACTCATCCATTAGAAAGAATAATATTATGTCATTTGCAGGGAAATGCATAGACCTAGAACAAATCATGCTAAGTGAGGTAAGCCAAGCTCAGAGAGACAAACAACATATGTTTTCTCTCATATATGAAAGGATCTAAAATATTACTAGACTCTGTACAGTATCTTTACAATAAAAATATATATTAAGAAAAAATATTACTGGTCATGACAAGCTATATAGGACTCTAGGCATTCACACATAATCAGCCAGATTAAAGGATACACTTAGGGGAAGAACCCAAAGATGAAACTTCTCTAAACATTTAAAATATTATTTACCCAAATGAACTTTTGTTATTGTTGTTGTTATTGTTATCGGGTTTTTGTTATTGTTGTTGGTTGGTTGTGGTGTTTGTTTTTTTTTCTTCTGTGAGGGGCAAAGTGGGGGCATAGAAAGGGAGGGAGGAATGGTGAACAAATGTAATCATTCTATCCAGTATATATTATGTAGAAAATGACGTATGTAACTTGTGGGCAAGCATGGGTGGAGGAAACTGGGGTAAAGCAAAGGAAGCAGTGATGTCCAAAAAAGAAATATACTCATTACCTGATTTATGAAATGGTAACCTTATTGTACAACAACTTAATAATAACAATAAAATTATTTTTTGTGCTGGTCCTAAGGCTTGAATTCAGAGCCTGGGCACTGTCGCTGACCTTTCTTTGCGCAAGGCAAAGAGCTACTCAGAAGGCTGAGATCTGATGATTGTGGTTCAAAGCCAGCCCAGGCAAGAAAGTCTGCAAGACTCTAATCTCCAATTAACTGTCAGAAAACCAGAAGTAGAGCTGTGTCTCAAAGTGGTACAGCATAGCTTTGAGCAAAAGAGCTCAGAGACAGTGCCTAAGCCCTGAATTCACAACAGACAAACAAAAGCCAATCCTAGATGGTTATATATAGTAAAGTATAAAGTTCTTGAAATGACAAAATTACAGAAGAATGACAGAACTTAGAGAAGCTGTGGAGGCAGAATAGAAATGAGTGTGGATACAATACAAAGGGTCTTATAGAAGGTGATGGAAACGTTCTGTATTTTGACTGTATTGATGTCAAAATACTGTTTGTAATACGATTCTATAGGTTTCAGGATGTCCCTGTTGTGGGAAACTTGGTAAAAGGGTAAATGAGATCTTTGCATTTTTTTTTTTACAACTTTATGTGAATGTATGCTTATTTAAAAATAAAGCTTCATTATTAGATTAAAAAGTACACAGGACAAAAACAGTGAAAATAAATGAAGGAATACAAATTAAAGAAGTCAGATGCAAAGAAGTATATGCTGTTTGGGCTGGGAAGGTGGCTCAGCAGTAGAGCGCTTGCTTTGCATGCTCGAGGCCCTGGGTTCGATTCCTCAGCACCACATAAGCAAAAAGAAAAAAGCTGGAAGTGGCGCTGTGGCTCAAGTGGTAGAGTGCTAGCCTTGAGCTGAAGAGCTGAGGGACAGCGCCCAGGCCCAGAGTTCAGGCCTCACGACCGGACCCCCCCCAAAAAAAAAGTATATGCTGTATTATTCCACCTCAGTGAAGTCCAAACGTGAGCAATATTAAATTGTTAGAACTAATGACAGGGGTGACCACAGGGGGGGAAAGCTGCATAATGAAAAAGCAATAGGAGGACTTGGGGGGGAAGGGTACTGACAATGTTTCATTTTTTGACTTGATGTTGCTTACATGGGTGTGTAATAAATCATTAAAATGGCAAACTTGTGATTTACACAGTTTCTGTATCTATGATACATATCAACTTTTTAAAGTTTATTGAAGGAGGGGCTGGGAAGTTGGCTCAGTGGTAGAGCGCTTGCCTTGCATGCCTTGCATGCGTGAGGCCCTGGGTTCGATTCCTAAGCACCACATTAGCAAAAAAAAAAGAGAGAGAAAAGTTTATTGAAGGACAAACACATGTGGAGAGGCTAAGGTGTGAAGCAGCCACAATGACAAAGTACTGGGTTGTTGGGAGGTAACTCATTTTCAGCCTACAGATCAGTTACTACATGAATTAATTTATTTGACCAGTATGTATTGAGTCCGTGCTGCCTTCTGGGTGTTCTCCTTGTTGGTATACTCTTGTGCACTAGAAAGTAAATGCCTTTAGGAATGGAAAGTGCAAATTATAGTAGAGAGGCCATTTTTTAAAAAAAAGTCCAAGAAAGCTGGAGGCAGGAGAATCCTGAGTTCCAGGCTGTGCTGGGGGAAGTTAGCAGAAATCCAATCCGAGAAACAAACTATACAAACAGAATGGACTGGGGACATGGCTCAAAGTGGTGGGGTTCAATCCTCAGTACCTCCGGGAATAAAAAAGTAAAAACCAAAGACCATTATGTGGACGGATGTGGCTGCTGCGCATGAATCGCTGAATGCAATTAATTCAACCTCTTCCAGGGGAAGGAAAGACAATTTCCCTCCTGAATCTCAACGTTCTTGACAAGACCGCACACAGGCAGGCTCAGTGTGAGCGAGCCACAAGGCAACGAAGGAAAACAAAGCGTCATGTATTATTTTTTTGACAGAGATAATCAAAAGTGAACTCCAGCGCCTCACTTCAGGGCTTGATGAAGCCCTGGGCGGTAGGTTCCCAACCTCCGAATCTTTCAAACCACTGGGTCTGAGGAGTGTGGTGGCCCCTCCAGGAAGCCAGGCCTCGAGGGGAGGGGGAGGCCTGGACGCTGGGCCTCAGAGGGGGAGGTGCCAGCGCCACGTGGAGGCCGCGAGGAGATGGATACCGGGCTCGTGGGTCGGGGAACACCTTCTCAACGGTGGACAGCAGATGGGCCGACCACAGGATGACACGAGGACGTCCGAACGCGGACCCAGCACCGATCCCCAAAGCCAGCCGCAGAGACCAACAGTGCCTTGGCGGTGCCTTGGCGGCTCTCACCTCGCTCCCCGCTCCCCTGGCTACCGGGCGTCATCAGTATTTGTTCTCAAAGCTCAGAAAGGGGCAACGGCTTGCCAGGAGCCACACAGAAATAATGGCGGCTCCAAAAGAAGGCCGCTTGATTCCTAATTCCTGCTAGCCTGCAAAGTCCCGCAGACGGAGGACAGCGGGGAGGAAGGATGAAGTCAGCAACTCTCTCGTTTACCTTCAGCAGATTCTGAAGCGCGGCGAAGTCTTCAGCTGTCAGGGCGGCCATCTTCCTGATATCACGTGTCCGGTGGCACGGGGCGGTAGGTGTCACGTGACACTGGCGGCCTTCACAAAGCCTGCTGGGGATTGTAGTCCCGCAGCGTTTGGGAGCGGGGCGTGAGTTCGGCTGTGAGTGTGCAGTGGGCGAAGGAGTACAAGCCTCGCGCGGAGCATGCTGGGAGTTGTAGTCCTTCAGCGTGCGGAGCGGAGCGTGGATCCGGTACGGTGCTTTGAACTTTGGAGAGACGCCAAAGGCTTCTAGACCCGGTGGGCTGACCACAGGGGACGGAAGAATAGGGATGGGGAGGAGGACTAGGGCGGAGGATGGTTTCCAGAGTGAACAAATTGGCTTGTCTGTTTCACACATTAGAGAAACTGATTTTCCCCTGGCCCTTGTGGGTGAGCAGCTGTATCGAGGTTGGCAGGCACCTTGGAGACGTAACCATTCAAAAGCGATGAGTAGACCTGGACCTGGGAATCAAAATGACACTGTGTGTGGCGGGGTTCTTGGAATTTACACACCCTCACTCGAACTCCAGAAGAGTGTAAATCTACTTTTGTGTGGATAGTTTCTTTTCCTTCTATGAAGTAGGTAGGAATTGGTATTATTGCCAAGTTTATCTAGATGGGGAAACTGAGTCATTTAGGGATTAATTTTTCTGCAGCCCTTGGGAAGATCTGGTGTGAAGAACGGGTAAGAGAGTGTTTGGGCCAGGGGACAGGAAGGGAACCATATGAAAAATATCACCAATTCAATTGGCTGTGACACCCATGGCAGGGGTGGTTTATAGAAATGATTTGATCTGTTTATTCAAGAGGTAATTATGGTGAGTGTAATGAGTGATTTGAGATAAGCAGCTCTGGACCCTGGTTGGCTCAGAAGTTTCACCATCTTATCAGATGTCATCCCACTGGTCAGAGCAGCCTAGATTTGCTGTGTCCCATTGCATTTAAGTTTCTACGGTCTGAAACAGTTCCCCCAATCCTTAAACTATAAATGTTGTCAGAGCTTCTGTCTGTGGTTTTCCTCCTCTGCTATTTTTATTAGGCCTAGTCTGATTTCAAGTATAGGAATTATTGCCAATGTAATAAATTTGCCATATGGTAGGATACATCCCATCTGGTTAGATTTATGTAGTATATTAAATATGCATACACACATATACACTGTATTATTACTTTCCCCACTTTAAACACCTAAAGAGGGCTGGGAATATGGCTAAGTGGTAGAGGGCATGCCTAGCATGCATGAAGCCCTGGGTTCAACTCCTCAGTGCCACATAACCAGAAAAGCCAGAAGTGGCCCTGTGGCTCAAGTGGTCGGTAGAGTGCTAGTCTTGAGCAAAAGAAGCTCAGGGACAGTGCCCAGACCTTAATTCAAGCCCCAGGACTGGCAAAACAAAACAGAACACCTAAAGAGGTTAAAATAATGCCCTCAAGTTCATACTTGGGCAGTCTCTTGTGAAGATTATCTACTGAGCTGGGCATATTTCTGTCTTTCTGTAGCTAGAATCTTATGTTTCTCAAATTTGGGTGTCTGAATAGCTTCTTTGAAGGACAAGAATAAGCCAAGAGCATTCTTTAAAACAATCAGTGAGATAGTGAGACAAGGGATATGATTAGAAGGGTCACTGTTGGTTTGTGGGCAAAAAAAAAAAAACCAAACCCAGACTGATCAAGGAAAAGCCACATGAACACACAGCAGGATATAAACTATATAAAAAAGAAAGAGAGAAAGGAAAGAAAGAGCTGGGCGCTGGTGGTTCATGCCTGTAATCCTAGCTACTCAGGAGGCTGAGATTGAGGATCACAGTTCAAAGCCAGCCTGAGCAGCAAAGTCCGTTAAACTCTTATCACCAATAAACCACTAGAAAACCGGAAGTGGCACTGTGGCTCAAGCAGTAGAGCACTCACCTTGAGCTGAAGAGTTGAGAGACAGCACCCAGGCCCAGAATTCAAACCCCATGACTGATTGGGGGGGGGGCGGCAGGAGGGAGGGAGAGAAAGGAAAAGAAAGAAAGAGAGAGAGGAAGAAAGAAAGAACCCCCCCCCCCAAAAAAAGAAAGAACCCAGACGGAGTTCCTGCCTCTTGTCTGCTTCTAGCAAGTTACTTCACCAGTCTGAACCTCAGTTTCCTCATCTGTAAAATAGGAACAATAATAAAAGTACCTTTTGACCATTAGAGGGAGCTCAAGGATGACTTATACCCCATTGGGGAGGGACTGTTTTATGTGGACACACTCAATTCTAGTCATCACAGCACCAGAGAGCAGAACTTTCTTGTTAATGGGAAAAGTAGCACTGAGGAAACTAACCATCCAAGTTTGCTCAGGTATTAGCAGTTTTCCAGGACACAGACTTCTAGATTGGATACTCCAACAGTTCTGGGGAAAACAAGGCCATTTGATCTCCCTGGTCTGAGCCTTGAGCCTTCAAAAGAAACCAGCCTTTGGACTACTTGTCCAGTTTTTCCCCAGAGGCACAGATGTGAGAACAATATGTGGACCTAGACTTTTAAAACAAAGGCAGCAATTTTAGTTTCAGGCTTTAAAAATAATAGCATTGTTGAAATATAATTCACACATGCTGTGCAATTTATCCACTTAAAGTATCCATTTCAATGGATTTTTAATATATTCATAGAGTTTTCCAACCATCACCATGATCAATTTTAGAACATAATCATCACTCCTGAAAAAAACACCACCCCTTTGGCCATCACTCCTCCCTCTAAAGCGTGCTGATCACTTAGGCTACCACAAATTCACTTTTCTGTCTCTATAGATTTTCCTGTCTTCCCATTTCATATGATATGTGGTTCTTTATACTTGTTTATTTCAGGTATCATGAAGTTTTCTGGATTTGTGTTGTAGCATATATCAGTACATTGTTGTGCTTTTTGGTGACTAGTATTTTACTGTACGTGGATAGTCTACATTTTGTTTTTCCATCCACCAATTGGTAGACATTTGGACTGTTATCACTTTGGGGCTATTATGAATGATGCTATTATAAACAAATATGGACTAGTTTTTGCACAGATGTATGTGTGTGTGTGTGTGTGTGTGTGTGTGTGTATATATATATATATATATATATATTCCTCTTGGGATGCATGTCGAGGAATTGAATGTCTGAGTCATGTGGTAAGTATGTTCATTTTTTTTTTTTTTAGAAATTGCCACATGCTTTTTGGAAGTAACAAACCATTTCACACTCATCCAGACGTGTAGGAGGATTCCAGTTGCTTTACATCTTCACAAACATTTATTATTATTTGTCTTTGTGTATGTGCACGTGTGTGCATGTGCAGGTACCTGGGCTTGAACTCAGAGCCTCGTTCTCTCACTTGGTTTTCTTCCTTCTGGCTGGCACTTTCCTACTTAAGTCTTGCCTTTAATCTGGAATTTTACTGGTTAATTGGAAATGAAATGTCACAGACTATTCTATCAGGGCCAACTTTGAACCTCAGTCCTCCAGGTCACAGCTTCCTGAGTAGCTAGGATTATAAGTGTGATCTACCTGTATCTGGCTTCATCTTCCTGTTATAGCCATCCTCCTGGATTGCTCATTGTGAGCCATCTGGTTCTTTTATGTTGTATTTGCATAGCATGGACCTTTTTACCCCTGAAACAACTTTCATTCATTTGAACGGATGGATAGTATAGGATCTTTAGCTCCATTCTCTCCTTTGGTCCCACCACTACTTTCTGACAACTTTCTTTATCAGATATGCCTGCAGGAGGTTAATATGGCCAAAGGGTCTGTAGCCCTTTAGGGAGCTCTTCCTCTGTTTTGTTTTTCTGTTTTCCCCTTTCCTGACCTTGATCTCACAGACTGAGACCAGAGTGGGTTTCAAGGGAAGTTGAGCGCCTTATGTTTTTGATCTGATGTCTCCTGTGGTAGGTTAAGGAGTAGCTTTGGTGTGGCCGGTGAACTTACCAAGTATCTTTGTACATTGGAGCTGCTATGATCAAGTAGCATCAACTGGATGGCCTTATGTATTGCTTACAGTCTAGAAGCTAAGAAATCCAAGATCAAGGTGCCAGCAAAGCTGTTTCTTGGTTCACTGATGGCACCTACTATCTGTGTTCTCACATGATGGAAGGAGCTTCTCAGGTTCTTTTACTTCTTCTTCTTCTGGATTCTCTTTTATGAGGACACTAAGACCATCCCCTCCCCCAACCTACCCCCCTGCCCCAGGCCCTTCCTCCTACCATCACTGATGAGTTACGATTTGGAAGGGAGGCACACTAACAGCCCATGGCATCAGGGAATGGTAAGCAAGTTGACAGTCAGACCCCTGAGTATCAACAGGGGTATGGTGGCTTGCAGATGGCATCAGTGCCCAGACCAGATATAACAGACGCATGGTTTAGAGCTCATTCTCAATAACAATGTCATGTTTGGTCTTCCATGTTGCAAAATTGGGAAATGTGACATAAAATGTCCAGACTTCGGGCATTTCTTTAAAAACTGGCTAGTTCAGCCATGCTGGTCCCTCTTATGCATATTGTAGCAGTTGGCTGGAGCTAAGCCCTGGCTGTCTCCTAAAGACAAATGTCCTGAGTTCCTACCACTGATGTGTCCCAGTGGACCCTCTCCACACATTTGTCCCTTCCTCATCCCGGAGAGTATCTTTTATTGCCCATCTTCCTTCAGAGGTTTAGGGAAGTAAAGTTAGGCATAAGAGGCAAAGAACTGAATGGGAAGACTTTGCATTCAGGGCTCCCAGTCATCAGTATACAATCTCTCCATAACTCTGAACAAGTGGCCAGAGCCATGTAAGTATCTAACCTGCCATTCATGGTTTGTGTGTATTTTTTTTTTTTTATGAGCTGTGCATGGCTCCTAAAGATCTCCTTGGTATTAACTCATTTAATATTCCCTGCAATCCAATAACAATTCTAGTTTACAAATGGAAAAACTAAGACTCAGAGGGAAAACAACAACAACAATAACAACCCCCTCACAGTCCATGGGAAGTAGTACTAGAGCCAGGATTTGAAAGCAGGGGTGATTGAAGTCCTTTACAGCTGTATTTGGTCTCATATGGGGGTCTGTGGGTGTGAACGAATAATGATTCATCTCACCTTCCAGGCTGCTGCTTCCATGCTCTATGACTGGCGAACGGTTCCATTCAGGTGACCCATCACAAAGACAGATGACCTAATTGTTTGGAGGAATAATATCTGCGATACTTTCCAGCTCTAACTTGGGTCTCTAAACACTGATGAGGGAAGAGGAAGAAGGATGGCACTTAGCCATTCACCTCTTCCACTGTGATCCTGGGGTTTGAACTCAAGGCCTTGAGGTTGCTAAGCAGTATTCTATTTAAACCACTTTCCCAGTCTCTTTTACTTTAAGTAGTAATTGTTTTTGGTGCTGGTCCTGGGACTTGAACTCAGGACCTGGGTGCTCTCCCTGAGCTTCTTTGGCCCAAGGGTAGTGCCTTACCACTTGAACCACAATGCCACTTCTAGGTTTTTCTGAGTAGTTTAATGGAGATAAGAGTTTCAGGGACTTTCCTGCCTGGGCTGGCTTTGAACCATAATCCTCAGTTCTGAATCTCCTCAGTAGCTAGGATTATAGGAGTGAGCCAACAGTGCCTGGCACCTTCTTTAGTTTTTAAATGGGGTCTTGTGCTTATGCCTGGGACCAGCCTGAACTATTTGTTTATGGTCCTCCTATTTGGGAAGGGCAAATCTACCACCACACCTAGCTTTTTTAAATTGGTTGAGAAGGTTCCTGCCAGCTTTTTGCCCTGGCTTGCCTTAAACTGTGATCTTCTCTATCTCTATCTTATGAGTAGCTAGGATTACAGGTGTGAGTCACCATACTGGGCCAGTTAGTTTCCTTTGAAAGGTCATCCCCTGCTTCCTACTCTAGTAAACCATAGGCTGAATGTTCCAATAGCCTTCCTAGCTCTGAATGACCTGGTCACCATGATGAGTGAAGGCTAGAGACATCAGACTGAAGAAGACACGGTGGCCTGGTTTCTTGGCCCCTGTGCTGGGGAGTAACACAGAAGCAACTGGTAACACAACAGCATTGTCCTCCTGTACACAGGCCCCCTTTGTTTCCCTAAGCCACACAGCAGGGACTGTAACAATGGCCTTGAATGGCACTTTACCCTCCTTTCTCCAATGATACATTTGTTTTTCAGTTCTGGAATCAACTACACAACGATTTCCTGTAGGGCGTATTGGTGTTTCATATTTTCCGCTTGCTTCACCATTTCACTTCAGGCCCTAGGTCAGTGAGTAGTGAGCTGGGCCCAGAGAGAGCTGAGCCTGTGGAAATGTCACCTTCTCAGCAGGCTGGAGGGCCAGAGAGCTTCCATCTCTCCCTTGTAAGGTAGGATCCACCCCAGAGGAAAGAACCAGACCAGGTAATACAAAGAGCCTGGGAGCTGGGGGGGAGGAGGGGGTGGAGGGAGGTACTGCAGGTGATTGGCTGAGAATCTAGCCCAGAGTGAATGAGCACCTGGGTTCAAGATGCCATATTTGCTTGAGAGTCATTTTCTGCTGATAAACAAAGAAACAAGCAACTGAGGTCAAGTTTGGCAACTCCCCAGTTAGAGAAATGGAGTTCTGTCATAGTCACAAGTTCTGCATTTGAGAGTTCAAACAACTTTGGATTGAAAATGCTTTTTTTTTTCAAACGTTGCATCTGTAATGAACATATAGATTTTTCTCCTTGTCATTATTTTCTAACCAATGCAGTACAATAATAACTATTTGTATTCTACTAGCATTATAAGTAATGTAGAGATGATTTGAAGAATGTCGGAGGCCTTGCATAGCTGATACAAAGATCTACACCATTTAAAAAATAAGCTACCAGGGGGTCTTGCAACTATTTTCTAGTAGCTAATGAGGTATAACCATACCATTTAACCCTAGATATCTTTGGGTGACGAGAATCTTCAGGGGTTTGTCAGTTTATTGAAGTGACTATTGTCTAATAACAGCCGTAACAAGCTCTCACTCTATTATTTATTTGCTGAATTAATAACAACAGTGGATAATGCTGATTCCGTGTGCCTCACCTTCTTGCACAATTCAAATCCAGGCAATCTGGCTATAGATTCTGCTTTTTACCACTGAATCCTTTGTAAAACATTCTCTCTAATGTGGTCATACTGATAATATAAATATGGTGAGATTTCATTTTGAGAAGTAATGCAGTATAATGATAACCGAATGATAAACTAACTGAATCCATTGCACTATGCCAATGTTCTAAGTTTTTTATTTCCTCATCTACTCTACACGATTATCCTATCAATATGGAAACTTTGCTACTCCTATCTTATAGAAAAGATAATTAAGGTACAAAGAAGTCAACTACCCAAGGTCACACAGGTGTTAACGGACAGATTGAATTATGCTAAGTTTACTTTAGTGTGTTGTATTGATCTAGGCCTGTCTGGACTTAGATGAGTATCCTCTTAAGTCATTGGGTAGAGAGGGTAGCATCCAGTCCATGGCTTTATAGAACAATGACAATCAAGTTGTCAGCTTAAGGCATGCAAGAACTGTTTGTTGGTCTACTGTCACCAGCTTCTGTCTTGCTTAAGAAAAGTGGAATTTTTCAGAGGCAGTAGGGACAGAATCTAGACTGCTAAGAACTCATTAATAAATAGTACCCTCTTATTTGAAAAGAGACTAGGCTAAGCAGCTGTTGCTTATGAAGGGAGATTTATGTTAAATAATTCATGATGTGTATTTAAGAAGCCAATTTTGTTTTTTGCTCATTGCTATCCTTACTTGTTTCCTCCCCTTGGGTTGCACTCTTTCCCTTGCCCTAGAATGAAAATTAAAACAAATTTGTGACGCTTTGGCTAACTTTCAAGAATTCAGGTTTTTCTCATCACTTCTAGTTCCTAGTTCTAACCCTATCTGTTCAACAAAGGATATGGTTATTCCTGTGGGAGAAGTCAAATCTTCAAACTCTATGCCCAGTGGGAACGCCCACTCTAATCCAGTGGAGTTTGCTGCTGAGAAGAGGGCCTGTAGTTACCATCTCATCCTCACTTTATATTTTCATCATTCCCTTATGTTCAGTGAAGGTTCTGACTCCAACAGGGAGATCAGAGAGGATCTGGAAGTTCCACTTAGTACTGCAGTGTGTTGGCCAGCTTTCTGTTGTTGTGACAAAATGCCTGAGCAAATCAACTACTAGCGAGAGAAAATGTCTATTTTTTTCCTTTCCTTTTCATTTTTTGTGGCTGTGGGGCTTGAACACCAGGGCCTGGGTGCTGTCCTTGAGTTTTTTTAACTCAAGGCTAGCACTCTGCCACTTTGAGCCACGGCTCTACTTCAGGTTTTCTAGTGGTTCATTGGAGATAAGAATCTCACAGACTTTCTTGCCTGGGCTGGCCTTGAACTGCAAAACCCAGACCTCAGCCTCCTGAGTAGCTAGGATGACAGGCGTGAGCCACGGTGCCAGGTGAAAAGGTCTTACTTTGTCTCGTGCTTTCAGAGGTTTCAGTCCTTGGTCATTTGGTCTTGTTGCTTTGGGGCCTGTGGTACTATAGCATGGTGGAAGCATGTGGCAGAAGAAGGCTGGTTATTTCCTGATGGCTAGGAAGTGAAACAGAGAGAAAGAGCCATGTTCAAGTATCCCTCTCAAGGCCACACCCCCAAAGACCTAATTTCCTTTCAGTAAGCCCTGCCTTTTAAAAGTTCCACAACCTCCTCGTAGCATCATGGACTGATAAGACCAAGCCTTTAGCATATGGGATTTGAGAGGATATTTAAGATCCAAATCAGTAGTATGCTGGGCTGGGCCTGGAGTTTGTATTAAAGCTTGATGCCGTATTTCCTGTCATGATTTTGTGGATACTTTTTAGAAGTCACTGCACTGCCTTGGAGCTGTTTGTCTACAACTCATTCCTTAGTTATCAAGGCATCAGAGTAGTGCCCTACTAGTCTTATAGGGTTGCTATAATAAAATATCAGAGCCTGGCTAGTTTCCATGACAGAAATTAATTTTCCTACACTCTTGGGAAGTAAATGGTTGGCTGTTGACTAGGCCTCTCTCCCTGGTTCACAGGTGTCTTTGCTCTCTTTCTTCTGGGTAGGTATACATTCCTGGAATCCAGATGTGCAGTCAGATTGGATTCTTATTTTAACCTAATCACACTTTGAAAGTCTTATTACTAAATATAGTCACATTCTGAGGGAAGAAGGGAAGGTGTGTATGGTGGGAGGCAGGATGAGGCGAATATGGATGGAGACACAAACCTAGGAGAACAATGTGATTTATCCACAGATGGAAGAAGAATCTGGAACTCAGGTTAAAGAATTCATCCAAGATGGAATATTCTAAGTGGAGGAGCAGACTGGAGATTCTGGCTTTAGCCCACTGACTGCACAGTGTTTTAGGTTTTCAGCATTTGGTACTTTTTGAGCTATTGCCTATTAGAGTTTGGGTTGTGCTGGTAGAAATTTTCTCCTCAACACAGAGTTATAGAAGTAATTAGCTTCTCGGGAGGCCGAGATCTGAGGATTGCAGTTGGAAGCCAGCCCAGGCAGAAAAGTCCCCATGAGACTCTTATCTCCAATTAACCACCCCCAAGAAACAGAAGTGGCACTGTGGCTCAAGTGGTAGAGTGCTAGCCTTGAGCACAAAGAGGGTCAGGGACAGTGCCCAGGCCCTGAGTTCAAGCCCCATGACCACCAACAACAAAAAGTAAAGCAGGTTGTTCCTGTGTGATCTGCTTGCAACATAGGGGCTAGTGACAGGAGTGATGAGAGTCAGGAGCTTTCTCAGGAACTGTGAGATGAGTTTCCTGCACAAAGGAGGTGTCTTTGACTGTTTGATAAACCTGCTGCCTCTCTCCTGCTCCACCCTCTCAGATAGCTTAGACAGTGAAAGACTGCGGTGTGGAATGTCTCATTGTTGGCACTAGTACAGTAATACTGGGTTCTGGAAGTCCCATGTAAGGTAGAAAGGGCTTTAGTATCTTACCTTCTATTTTTTAGGAAACACTTCACCTAAAAGGACTTTGAGATACAATATTATTTATTTCTTTAAAGAGCTTCTTTAATTTAGATGCTTAATTATTTCCTTTAAAAGTAAAAGACCTGGCCTATGGCTGTCTATTTTTCCCTAAGGAAGGGAAGAATGCTCCTGGTCCTAGCAAACTTTTGGGAGGAACATGCTAAGGTTGTTGTCAGGAGATTGTCTGGTAGCAGGGCAGCGCTGGGGAGGGATGGAACAGGATTAGGCTGGGCTGGGAAAGCATGAAGCTGGGGCCCTGGAACAAAACAGGGCAGAGCTATGGAATGGGGGAGGTGGGGCCTAGAAACAGGGCAGGGCATGGTTGGGGAGGGATAAAGTTGGAAGTTAGGACCTGGTAACAGGGCTAGGCTACACTGGGCTGAGCAGGAGTGGGGCTGGAGCTCAGGACACAGATAGGGAGGGGCTGCGAATGGATGGCTATACAGCCCCAAACACAGAATGGGAGCAGCCAGGGCTGCAGCTGTCTGGAGTACAGAGGAGAAAGTGGCGATATTCTGTTTGCTCATACAGCTAGCAATTATTTAATAGACTTCTACTGTACCTGAGATCTCTGTGATCACTCTCCAGGGCTGAGCAGGTAGTTGAATGGACCCTGGAAAACATGTCTGAGGAAGGAGGTGTCTCTGTTGGAGGGAATGGAGCATGGTCAGGCATGATGTGTGTGTTTCTGAATTGTTCATACTCAGACCAGAGATCAGAGGTGAGCTGGAGTCAGGAGAAGGCGAAGGAAGAAGGTGGAAGCCTCCAGCTTAGAACCTGAGTCTGGACAGCTAGTCTGGATAGAGTTCTAAGCAGAAAAGTGACCTGACAGGAAGTTGTTCTTTCAATAAGTACATACTTTGGGGTGGAGATGTGATTCAAGTGGAAGAGCACTAGCCTTGAGCAATAAACTTATACTAAGGATATGCTATGATCTGGGTGCTGAGTGTAGAAAGCCAAGGGCTACATCCTAGTCCTTATGAAGCTGACAGCCCAGGGAAGGAAAGCCAGCTGATAAGTGAGATTGTAAGAGGAATGTGGATATGGACATAAGAATGAGTATGTCTTATTTATTATTACTTATTATTATTATTTTGTCTTAAGTATTTTTCACAGATAAGGTCTCCTGCATTTGCTTTTTGCCTGGGCTGAACTTGAATTGTGATCCTCTTACCTATGCTTCTTCCATGGCTGAAGTTACAGGTGTGCGCCAACATTCCCCCTCCCTTCCCTTGCTTTTTATCTTTGGGAGGAATACAAGTTAAACGATCTAGAGATGAAATATCATGACATCTGTCATTTACATGGAAATATATGTACGTATATATGGAAAGAGAAACAGAGAATA